GCTTGTCTTAAAGACCTGATTTAGCATTCCTTAGATAAGCAAAACCTCCATGGGAACTTGAGCAAGGATAGTAGGATTAGTCTTTCACAGTTACTGTGATTAATGTTTCAAGACAAATTCTTACTCCTATGGATGGATAAAGACATTTTTATAGTCCATTTCATCAAGAACTTAAGTTGTGTATTGCTGTATTAATCAAGGTGTTGTGAACTTTAAAGCCATCACTATATTCTTATCATCTGATTAATTTGAAATAGTGTCAAAGACAGCACTTAAGAGCACCTTTCTAGGGAAGTATGGATCATGTTTTTTTAATAGTATTCAACTAATAGACTATGAGATTCAAATAAATTAGTCTTTTCAAGGGAGAGATTAAGACAGAAGGTTTTCACAATCTGGATAATGTTATTCAGTGCCACTTTGGTAAAAGGACATAAATGTGCAGTTTTGCATGTAGAAGTTACAGTTTTTAGCTGGTGATGCTCAATTGGAACACGTTTAGAGTTCCTGTGCTGCTTCAGACAGAGACGGGCAGGAAGCTATAGATTAAAAGAGTGACAACTAGTTCTGCTGGGCATGGAGTGAATAAAGCCAGTAAGTGGGATTTCCCCTTACCTTCACTGTGGACTTGTTAGGGGTGAAATTCTTGTTTCTTTCACTGCTGCCAGACAATCTAGTCCTGAACTCTCTTGAAAATCTCATCCCACATTCTTTCAGTTGCTTGCAGCTGATTTTGTGGGAATTTTAGAGGAGTGACCTTTCAGTTTTGGGCATATCTTTGTTACAGTATAATTCACAACACTGTAGTTTTTCCTTTTTGCATTTTTCTTTTCCCCCCCCCCCTTAACATTCATCCATCTTATGTCTATACCTTTACCTTCTCTGATAACTGTTTGGGGTTGAGTTTGGGTTTGTTTTTAAAGGGCTTCCCTTTTCTTTCCCTCCCTGTACCACTGCTGCCCAGAATTCCAGGTTAACTGATGCACTTCTGTCTGGTAATTCCCTCCACTGAAGCTCCCTGTTGTCTCAGGACTGAATGCTACAGGAGCAGCAAAAGGGACCATGGACTTTCCATACGGTTCCTCTAGTTCTTATTCTAAAGGTGGATGCCATCCTTGTCTTAAAAAATTTTACAATATAAGGATCTGCTGTCTTCCTGAGTGCAAGATACAGAATAACAACGTGCTGATAAATATGGCACATGGTCTTAATCTACTGTGAAATTATTAAAGTACAGATGGTGTACTTTCTGAGTTCCTAGAATTACCGTAGGAAGTATGTGGTCCTCAAGCTGTTCATATATAATTTATAAAAAACCCCCTGGTTTTCAGATTTTGGCCAGTGAGTTTGGCTTTGAGAACATCCCTAAGGGAAATGCAGCTGAAATTTCCCTCTATCATCAGTTTCATGAGTTCAAGACAAAAGAACACAACATGGTTTCTACTTCAAGTTCTCATTTAGCTTAACAGTTTGCAAAATTAGTTGTATGCAGCCTGATATCTGCGTTGTTAGGTGTGTTATCTGATTTCATTTCACAAGTTTTAGTGCAGTTCTAAGAATTCAACAAAGACTGTCATCCACTAGGTCAGGTAATTCATTTAGTGATAAATGTTGACTAGCATAATTGTCCTGAGTGATCAGGAATTTAATCTGAGGCTGATGTCTGCGCAGCTCTGCCATGAATAATGCAGTAGAAGTCTGGACTACCCCTTTTTATCTGAATGCCAAAAGATTTCACTCATGTGAAGCAGAGGCCACTCTGTCAGTGAAACAGAAATAAAAAAAATTAACTTTTAATAGAATGAGTCATTGGTTTGCATGTCTTGCAAATAAAGTGCTTTATTTTTGTGCCTCTTGCACCATATAAAAAGCTTTGACTAAATTTTGTGTGGAAAAAGCCACAGAAGAAGCATTTTGGTTATCTATCGTGTGCCTGCATTATATGAATAAAGAATTTGAATTAAAATTCCTGTCTTGTTTTGCCCACAGTTGTGCCATTTTCACCAATCTTTACATGTGTCATGGAAAGGGAAGACTCCTTGTTCCTTTTTTTTTTTTTTTCCTCCCCTTGATGGCTGTAAAAGTGATTGTGAGGATTTAATGACAAAACAGAACAGGGATTTATTTTGTGCATTCTTTTTTTATCTGACTTCATCCTTTTTGAATTTTTCAAGTCTTGAAAATGTGTGCATAAAAAGCAATTACATAAAAATCAAGGCAACTTGCTTCAGTTGGTTGTACGAATTTAAAAGGACTAAAAGTCTGTTGAGTAAAGCTTGTATATGACAGAATTCACTATCCCACAGATCTCAGGACATAAATTAATAGGAAGCTGTAAGGACCTTTTACCAACTCTCTGCACAGAGCTGAAACCCACTTTTGAAAGAATATTGGTTCTCTGCCAACACCCACAAATGCACCTTGCGGTGAGCTGATCAAACCTGCTCTGACTTGGACATCCTGGCAGGCTTCATGTGTTAGAGAAGGTTTCTTCTGGCCAGCTGTGCCTCTGAAGGGCTGGGGCCACTTCTCAAATCAGCATCCAGCATCTTGGGTTTTAGTTATAATGAAAGACTTATTTGCAGCATTAACATGTACTTGGTTTATATCAATACTCCTTTTTTTTTGTTTTTTTGTTTGTTTTTTTTTGGTTTTTTTTTTGTTTTTTTTTTTTTTTGTTTTTGGGTTTTTTTTGTTTGTTTAGTGTTTTTTTTTTTTTTGGCTTTTGGTTTTTTTTTGTTTGTTTAGTTGGTGTTTTTTTTCCCCTTTAAGATGCTGTTTAGGCAGCTAAACTTTGCCTGTAACCATTTTTCTCACTTTAAGCTGCAGCTGCAGAATAATCATTTGAGGTTACTGAGTTAAAGAAGCAAAAGAGAGGAAACATGATTTAGTGTTAACTAAATTTGTAGCAGCTGGAAAGGGCCTTCCTGGTTCTTCTGTGTAGACAGAACCACTCAGACCAAGCTGCAATAAACCTGCGTGCATAAATGGCGTAGTCAGAATATTTGCTGGCACTTGGTATGTGAGATCTGCTGAGTTGTAAGCTCTGAACTGTGCGCTCTGAGAGCCTTCTGCCATTTGTATGTCACTCCTTGAAAAAGAATTAGATAAGGAGCTGAATGCAAAATCAGCCAAGGAGCTCTCAGTAGGAAGTGCCAGCTGTTACTATCTATTAAAGTCACTGCAGAACTGAAAGGACACAGGTTTATTTTGTGTTGTCTTACCATTGCCCTCAACAGGGGGCATGCAGACTGTATACTTCCTTAGTGGCACTGAGTGTATACTGGGAAGAAGTTCTTGATGGTGGAAAGAAAGGAAGAGAGCTGATCTCTCTCCTCTGCAGCCTACATCCTGTGTGAATTACTCCTATGGGGTAACTGATTCACTAGAAAATTCCCAGGTAATGGAAAGGGCAGGAAAGGTGGTTTGTTCCTTTTCCTTCCCTGTCAGCTATGAACGTGACAGTCAGTTCATAGCAAAATAAACAAGCTCTTTTTTTCTTCAGTCAGTCTTCTCATTTGAAGTGTTTAATAAGAGAAGGCTCTGTATCGATACCTGAAGGGAGGGTGCAAAGGGGATGGAGTCAAGTTCATCTTCTTAGTGGTGCTCAGTGACAGAACAGAAGCAGTGGGCACCAAATGAAACACAGGACATTCCCTCTGAACATCAGGAAACACTTTTTCTCTGTGAGGGTGACTGAGCACTGGCACATGCTGCCCAGGGAGGCTGTGGAGTCTTCATGTTTGGAGATATTCAGAAGCCATCTGGACACAGATGACCTCCAGAAATGCTTTCCAACCTCAGCCACTCTGATTCTGTGGCTTGAAACGGCATCTCTGTACAGTAAGGTCTTCAAAATCAGCTTGTCAGATATCTTGTTGGTAACTGATCTCCATCTTTCAACAGGTGAAGTCAATGGAGTTTTGGTCCTTGTCAGTAAAAGCAATGACAGTTCAGAAGCAGAGTGTTGTGCACAAAGTAGGAAGACCCTTTCTCTTTGTATGTGAGTGCCTCTGTACAGAGATGCCTCAGTTGTTCTTTGTTTCCAAGAACAGTGTGGGTTCTGTTCACTGCTGCAGCTCACACCCAGGAGTGAATGACACAGCATCTCTGTCTTCTGTGTTTCTACTTCTGGTTTGGACAAATAGGTTGCAATGTCCAAGTGCTCTGTAAGTAGTGAATCAGTGGAAAGAACCAAAAAGGGCAGAGGTGTCAGGGAGGAAAACGGTGAGGGGCAAGGGAAAAAAAAACCCCTTCATGATAAATGACAATCCACACAGCAGGAGGCTGATGGCAGAAGAGAGTGATTGTATGAGACTGAACCTAGATACAGGGTAAACCAAGATGAATGGAATAAGACCTTAATATCTCAGTCATTTACTAATTTACATCTCAGTCTTCTGCCAGGGCTGCCAGAGCAAGAGGACGACACAGGAGTTTGGTGAAAATAAGCCAATAGGAATTAAATATCACTGTCTGGCACTTGTCTTGGTTCCTTTTACAAATATTTATTCTCACTGTGTAACTGAAGAATAAACAAGGCAAAAAGTATTACACTCAAGTCAGTAAGTTAAGGTCCATGTAGAAAGATCCACTTTATCTGTGGTGTTTCCTGTGCATATTAGATGGGCTCTGAATATTGCATTTCATCAACAACTTTAGGAAATCACATCTGCTAAATATTTTACTAGAGCATGTTTTAAATCTCCTCAAAACATAATGTTCAAGGGGTCTCTTATTTTGTATATTTTTTTAAAATTACATTTGCTGATTATAGTGTAAAGCAGAAAATATAATTCAGACTATGAAATAGGGTTATTTTAAGAAGTCAAACATTTTATAGTCCCTGGCAGCAAACTCCCCTTTTATACAAAAGCTTCACAATAGAAGTCAATAAGATTTGTTCGGTAATGTTTTCAGCTAAATCAACAGTTATTAATCTTAATGTCATAGCAAAGTAAATGTGACAGCATTGTTAGAATAAGTTCTCTCTTTTAAAGTTTATTGCTTTTTCTCCTCCCCCTCCCCCCTTTTAACAGAACAACTGTTAATAAAAATGGAATTTACCAGTTTGAACAGGCTTCAAAATGTAAGGCAATTCAGGACAACATTTTGTCATCATCTATCAAGAAGAAAAGGTAGGTGTTTGTGCTTTCTGCTTTGTTTGTTTAAAATAGAAGGTTAAAAGATTGTCCTAGTTTACATAATTCTCAATATATTAACATGGAGCTATACAACAGGAAACCGAAATTGTTAAACCAATGTTTGCTGCATTTTTTTTCTTTCATGTGAATTAGATTTATTTGAGGTTGGATTTTAATTTTTTTATTTCCACAGTAGAAGTCAACAAGATTTCTCCTTGTTGTTTAGCAACATTATATTCCAAGTTATTCACAAAAAGATTTGAGTAGAATCTGTGAGGTATGACTTCTTCCTTGGATGTCTTTTTGCTGATTGGTGAACACTCTTGCTATGAGCAACTTCAGTTAATGGATTCTCTTTAGCATATTCATTAGACTAAGTATGGAAGTGTACCAGTATAAAAACTTGGTAGTTAGTTGCACACGTTATTACAACTGGTTCAAAGGAAACTAATAGTTCCATTTCAGATACATTGAAAAAAACAACCCCAAATTAATTTGGGGTTTCAACTTTCTGTTCTGACTTTTTCTGACATGGAAAAAACCCAACTTTGATATGAGCCCTGCTCAAATTTCTTGTCACTTTCTGAAGTGCAAATGGGAGAAGCAGCCCATTGTTTTTGACATGTAACATTTTGTCTGTGTGGATGCACCAATAAATAAAAAGTTGTACATAAGAAAGGCTTCCCATTAGGACTCAGTTGCAGCTTAAAATTAATGGAACCATGGTGTCTCTAAAATTGGAAGGTTTTTTTATTCCCCCCCTCCATTTGGGTAGAGAAATTCCTGAAATGAGAAACAAAAGCTCTGCTAAAAATAATTATATGCCTTTCTCCACTTAAAGTACTGGAGAAGTAAAATTTTTCCTTAACAACAAAACAACATTAAATTGTGATTTCAAAACTTCTCCTGTCTTTTCTGTCCCCTCCTCACTCATTACATTTAAAGATCTTTCATCTGTTTCTAAATCAGCATATTTTCAGTGTTCTGTCTTTACTTTTTTTTCTCCCCCCCTCCCCGTAACATCTCCCACCAATATTCCACCTCATCAGAAACACTATCATTCAAGGTTTTACTCTTTTTAAAGGTGGTAGGCCAGTATGTTACTGATGTGCTGCTAGTGAGAGCTGAAACACAGACTGGGAAACAGGTGAAAGAATGCAGTTGACTGAAAAATTGAATGGTTAACACCAAAAGAAGAACAACCAGTCACTGTATTGCCTTCAAAATGCACTTAAAGCAATATAAATGCTGTTGCTTATCCCACATGTTACGAAGTTGTACAGAGTGCAACAATGCAGATGTGCTCTTCATGTCGAACGTTTTGGAGCTGAGATTAGAGGAGAAACTTTGCGAAGTGCAAGACCTTTATTCTGTGGCTAAAGAGAAAGGAGCTGCACCATTTAACAAGGCAGAAGATGAATTGGGCAGGTAGGAAGAGAATCTGATGCTTGGAACAAAGGAGTGAGGGATTGCTTTTTGCCATAAATATTGTGGCTATTGCCCTTCACTGAGAGGAGCTGCAGGGATCATTGTTGCTTTCTCAAGGTCTGACCCACAGGCATGGTATATAGATGCTCTGTGTTGCAGTTTTAGACTTTCAGGGGCATTCTGGACACTCTTGCCTCTTAAGTTGGCAGAAAGGGAAAAAATTACTGTTTGAAAGCTTGTCAAGTGATTTGATAGTAAAAAATGCTATGTAAGTGGGAAGTTATTATAGCAGGTATGTGCTGGTGGTGATAAAGAGCCTGAAATGCTGAGTTTTGCTGGCAGTTTTCCATTTTTATTCTAGAGCAAGCCTTCTGCACACTCTCCCGAGGGCTTCAAAAACTGATAGTTTTGGTTGTGCTAAAGCATTCAAAGGCAAATCAGATCCTCCCTTTCTCTTGCATTTCCTGCAATTATTTTTCTTTTTATTTGTTTCCTTCTTGAACATAAGCTGCCAAGTAGGAATATGTCCATTTTTCACTTTTGTTGCTCCATTGTCCTTCTAATTCAAATAGCTTTTTTACAAGTAGGTGTTTAGTTTTAGAAAGTAAGCACTAGGGCTGCATCTGTCTCTGGGTTATGGCATTTTACCTGTTGTCTCTACTATCTCAATGCTTCTGTCCTTGCTGTTGTCCTTTATGTATCTGCCAAAAATTAGAAGTACTTATACTTTGTCAGTGCCTCAGCTGTGCATAGTAATTCCATCTTAGCCACTGCACTTAACATAGAAGGTCAGTGTGTACCTGACAATACTGTAGGCAAAAAAAAAACCCCTTCCAGATGTTATTTGTCACCAATGCTCATACAGTGTAAGCGAGTTTCCTATGACAGCAAGTTGTTATAATGGTTGTCGTGCAGGTGGCAGACAAAACCAGAACAAAACAAAACACATTTCATTCACTATTCTCAGCACTCTAACTATTGTCTTGTCCACATATTTTTATAGCTCAATTTACCTGAGCTTACATTATCTTAATAATAAAACCCTTTTAGCATCAGTGAATGTGTTGCTATGGGCTCCTGGGTGCCAGTGAAAAGATATGTATAGTCCCAGCTCTTGAAAATGGAACAGTGGAGAAGATGACTGACTGGGTTACAGCAGAGCCATAAAATGATTCCCTGATGACCTTCTGGACTGATTCCATTGGAGGAGTGAGTCCCCAAGGTGCTAGCAGGAAATGCTAAAATTGACTTTTCAAGAGGAAAACAAAGCCTTCTGGGCTGTAAACCCAACTGCAGCGAATCCCAGAGCTTCATTTTGAGTCTTAAAAAGCTATATATAGGAATATTGTCTGTATTCAAGTGGAGTTCTTTTCATGGAAGCCTTATATTGGTGTGAGCAGATGCCTTGCAGAACTGCCACAGTTGGGAGCAGTCCCTCAGGGACAGTGTGCTGGGATGTCTCTTCACCTGCAGCACTGTGCCAGCTGGCAAAGATGAGTTCTGACAGTCTGTAGTGTCTTCGTAAGTCACAAGAGGAGCAAAACTGTATGCATAGGTTGAACAGAGGTGATGTTCTCACTTGTATAGACCTGGAAGTTGTGTTTTTCTGGGTGAGCCAGTGAACTTGTATGCCTCTGAGCAAGAATGATTCCATCCAGTACACAGTGGTGGAAAGGCCACAATGTTCTTGCCTTTTAATTGGTGTCTTTACCCTAGGTGCATCTTCTGTTACATACATAAGAAGGCTCTTGCAGTTTCAGACAGTGGGTGCCTCTGTTTCTTATGAGGCCTCAGTACTAGCGTTATGGATGAGGCTTTCATTTTTCTCCTTACCAGACATTTCCCTGTAACTTGCTAATATCTTGTCAGCCCATGCATTTTCTTTCTGAGCTGATGGTAATTTTTCTTTTCATTTCTGACTCTGATCTTCATCTTATCAATGTCTTTAGGCTAGAATTTGCTTTTTCTGTACGGTTTTTTCTCCTGGATAATGAAAGCCTAAGTAACTCTTCATGCTCTGTTATCTCATTAATTTTTGGAATTTTTTCATAAGTCCCAGCATCTGTAAGTTATTTATTGTTTAGCTTTAAGGAATAAAACTAGATGAGTGATTTGACACCAGAACAGGCTATTTTGGTCAGTGCTTTTACCTTACCTACCCCCTACACACACACTCTGCCCTGCCCTGTGCTGGTACTGGCACTTGTCTGACCGCATGGTGAGTCAATTTAGATTGCAGGAAAGTAGTTCCATTTTCTCTGGCTGCAGTTCCAAGGTTGATAATGCAACATACCAGCGTGCAGCTGCCAAAATAGGAGGGCTTTGTTCCCAGTTTCTCCGTTCCCATCACATTGTTTATACTGTCTGTGGTGTTTGATGGAACTTTCTTGATCTGGTTTAACACAATGAGGAAGAAGAAAATGTATCTGCATATTTTTTCTTCTGGGTTGTTGTTTTTTTTTTTTTTGCCATGGTAGTAAATTAAATTGGCCTATGGAAGCATTTGTCAAGTGCAAAAGCTGGCAAAAGCAAACAAGAGGTGGAGTCAAGTAGGCACCAGGTGTGACACAAAGGAGAGAACCAATTTGGAGTTGGACTGGAAGGAGGAAGAATTTACTGCACCAGGCCAGATCAGTTACAGCTGTAATGAAACTAGTTTGGCTCTTCTCCCACTTCTCCCCATTCATTCCTCTTCAGTTCTACAATAGCTCAGTAAAATTGGTTTAGTCAAAATGATAGTTTTTTAAGAGTTTGGTAAGTGTGGATGATAAAATTGGTACACATTGTCACAGGTGCAAACTTCAGCCAGAGACAAGTTCTAGTGCAATATTCCTCTTTAAAGTATCATTTATTTTTCCATGTGGAAAATGGTGTAGACATGATCTTACCTAGGGGTAGATAAACAAGTTGCCTTTAGCAGTTGCAGTACTTTTTTTGAAGCAAGCAAAAAAGAGATCAGTTTTTTTCATATGTCAAACACAGAGAGGAAGGAAGCTTTCAGATCATCGACCACTGCTTCTGCATGCCACCACAGTCTATTTTACAATCCTTTCTATCAATTCTCATGCTCCATTTAAAAACAAGTGAAGTTTCTTGCCATCCCAGCTCTTGTAAAACTGTTCAAAATGCACACTCCTAAGTTCCAGCTTTAATAAACTCATGGTCGTTTTGGTTTGGGTCAACACTAAGCTACTTTTGCTAAAATAATGCAAGGTAGATCTTTCATGGAGACTTGAGTAGCATAGAATTCCTAGTCATGGCATCCATACCATTTCTTCTTCCCATTCCTCCAGTCCTTCTTACAAGTCAGATATTATATTTTTAAAAACCTGTATTAGGATCCAAGCACAAATGGGAGAAATAGTAACATTAAACTTGAAAGGAAAAAATGTCTCCATTCTTTTGACTTACGTGCTATGAAGTATTTCACTTCTGGACAGATTTAAGTCTCTTGAAAGAGGTTTAAAAGGAGCAGAGAGATCTCTGGTTAGATGTAGCAATGTACCCAAAGTGATGGTTGATGTGAAACAGCAGGTTGTTTTATTTAAGAGATAATTTAAAGGGAAACTTGCATCTGTAAATATTGGGCTAAAGTCTTAGATGACTGAATTGAGCTTTGGGGACTCTAAAGTAAATGAAAGAAAAGGCATGAGAACTGATGTTTCCTCTTGGCTTGCAAGAAGCACTTTTCAAAACATTTTTGAAGTTTAAACCACCAAGTACAAGAAAGAGCTTTTTGTATTATATTGGACTTTTGCGCTTGAGGTAATTTCTAATAACTTCAAGATATTTATGGTAAATTATTTAAGTTTGAAACCAATGTAGTTTTGAAAGTTTCTGAAAAGAAAAGTTCATTAGGACATCACTGCTAAGAAGAGATGTTTAATAGGTCATGCTAATTAAATGAGGATAGTACTGTTACAAATTACAAAAATAAAATAGGTCATGAAGTTCTAAAAGCAATCTATTATATATGCACCGTGCACATTATTATTAATACATGCATCATTTGAATGTTTTAGAGACTGTTTCTAAATATACATACATATATATTCTAGTGTTTGATGTTGTTTCCTTTTTTAGATACTCAGAAGATTATTATCTTCACATTGTCACAAAACTGCAGAACTGCACCTGGGTAAGGAGACCAGAAGAATCTAAAAAATTCAGGTAATTTTTGTTGTCTGATTTAGAAAACTGTTTACCCTTGATTTGTTTAACAAGCCATATATTAAATCTTCCTTTTAACCAGATAATTTTGTTTTGCTTTGTGTAATTTCTCTGAATCTTTTGATGCTGAGGCTCTTGTTGTTTGTTGGAATTGAACTGTGCAAACTGAGTAGAATGAAAGAACTACATAAATGAAGTAATTTCACCTATCTCCACTATAATGAATAATTAGCTAACTTAAATGGAATGAATTAAAATATTCCTGGCACAAAACCTGCAATGTTCAAAAAAAATCGGTACTGTTATTCTGTCTGTCTGAACTGGCACTCTGGTAAGACTGTGTAATGAAGCAGTGTCCTTCTACCTCAAGACTATTGCTTCTGTTACAGAAGTGCCCAAGGCACTCATTAGGTTTGACACTGCATGTCATGGCCCCTGAGCATGTAAGCACATGATTATATCTCTCTTTGTTCTGGATGGCACATAAGTACATTACTCAGTAGGGACAGTGTTCCCTGAAAAGCTTAAACTCTCATTTGGAAATGCATCATGCTGGTTTTAAAGCACAGCTTCACTGTGCCATCCCTCTTTTCTCCAGGGGAAAAAGCACTCTTGAATTACATTATTACATGGAACAGAATTAAAGAACCTGTCGCGATCATTAAAAATAAATAAACTGGCCTACCTTCCAACTCTTTGGGTTAACTAGCATTGCGAACTTAATATCCACATGCTCAACATGATATCTTTACAAGAAATAGTTTTTAAACCTTTTAAAATCCATGGTTCAGCACAGGCTGGACAAATTTGTTACTGAATTGACATTCAAGGACTGTACTGTTATGTTTTCATTGCTTTTTAGCATCCAAACTAGCTAGAGTATTAGCTAGTTCATATGTACACAACCTGTGCTGCAATTCTGGTGATAGTACTGTATATTCTTCTCTTCCCCAAATTTGATCTGGTTTGACATCGTCCAGGATTTCCATTGATATGAACTGGACAGAAGAGAGAAAATATAATGAAAGTTTCATGAGTTGAGATGAGGACCAGGAGAGATCAATCATCACTTACTGTCACAGGCAAAACAGGCTCAAACTTGGGGATATTAATTGAATTTATTATGAGTCAAAGTTGGAGCGGGATAATAAGAAGTAAAACAAATCTCAGAAACACTTCCCCCACCTCTCCCTCCTTCCTGGGCTCTACATCCTCCTTACCAGTGGCACAGGGAGACAGGGAGTGGGGGTTACAGTCAGTTCATCACACATTGTGCTGCTGCTCAGGGATGGGAGTCCTGCCCCTGCTCCAGCATGGGATCCCTCCCATGATGACAGTTCTCCATGAACTTCTCCAGCATGAGTCCTTCCCGTGGGCTACAGTTCTTCATGAACTGCTCCAACGTGGGTCACTTTTCCATGCGGTCCAGTCCTTCAAGAACAGGCCACTCCAGTGTGGGTCTTACCAGGAAACCTGCTCTAGCATGGGCTCCTCTCCACAGGACTACAGGTCCCTGCCAGGAACCTGCTCCAGCACAGGCTTTTCATGGGTTCACAGCCTTCTTTCAGGCATCCACCTGCATCAACATGGGCATCTTCCATGGGCTGTAGTGGATCTCTGCATCCTGTTAACCTCTGTGGGCAATAGAGGTACAGCTGCTTCACCATAGTCTTCACCACGGGCTGCAGGGAATCCTCAGCTCTGGTGCCTAGAGCACCTCCTCCCTCTCCTTCTCAACTGACCTTCGTGTCTGCATAGTTGTTCCTCTCACATATTCTCGCTCCTCTCTCCTCTGGCTGCAATTACATCTGCACAGTAACTTTTTTGCTTTCTTAAAAATGTTATCCCAGAGGTGTTAAAACTACCACTGATTGACTTGGTCTTGGCCAGCGGTGGGTACATCCTGGAGCTACTGGCATTGGCTCTGCTGGACATGGAGGAAGTTTGTGGCAGCTTTTCACAGAAGCCACCCCTGTAGTCCCCCCGCTACCAAAATCTGGCCATGCAAACCAAACACACAGACTTAAGCATGAAAGCCTTGAACTAGCTTTGCAAGGACACTTTAGATGAGAAACGATGCATTGACAGAGCTCTACGGGGAACAAAGTTTCTAGAATTGTGCTGAAATAAATGAATTAATAATCCCTGGGCAGTACATGTCTTCCTTTTTCTGACTTTGCCTAGTGACAGTAATAGCTGTGCAATACAAATACTATACAGCTTTACAAAAATCTCATTAAGTAGGTAGATAAACACACCCATTTGCAGAACAGGAAATTAATTTCAGAGGGGCTGTGCAGCAGGGATCGGGTGCTACAACCAGCCACCTTCAGGAGGAGAACTTGAAGCTGCCTGTGTCACATTATTCACCTGCCAGTGCCACCAGAAGTCTGCCTGCTGACTGGACTGCAGAGAAGCTGCTTGACTTCCCTTCCTGTTTGCCCATCTGTTAAATGGAGTGAACACTTAGATGCTTCTCAGGCATGGTGTCAGTTTTATGACATCTCTGTATTATCCTGAAGTTCTGAAGAACAGGCATGCATATTTATAAGGGATTTAATGTCTTATGCTTCAGGGCATAAACTAACCTCTAATTAATAAGGTACAAGAGCAGCTTCCCCTGGGGTAGTGAATTTTTCAGAGAAGCTTTCCTGTGTTTTCTTTTGCAGCTTTTGCTGTTGGCTACCATCATAATGCTAGTGGAGTGAAGGAATATATGCAGTCTAAGCCAGGAACTCCTACGTTCCTAGAAGACAGTACTGTGTGCCAATGAGTACACATCCGTTCTCATTGTAAGCCGCTCTCCCAACAGACCCAGGCCAAGTGAAAAAGTATGCATTAGGAGTGCAGGAAAGAAATACTTGTCTTTTTATTTGGCAAAAAGGTTACAGCTGACAGCCAGGCCTGGCACAAACTACAGTGGTTTTACCAGCCTGTTGTTGGAGAGCAGAGTGCAGCATTCCAGGCTCACTGTCTAGTACCTAGCTCAGCTTTGCCATGCAGCTGTGCAAACTGTGTCCACTTGTTGTCAGAGAGATGCCCTTTTCCAGATGGCTTCCTCTAAAGCTGCTCTGCTGTGCAGGCTCATGTGCACTTGAGTAGATTGCTGTCGGGCAGTGGGCAGTGGTTCTTGACAGCTACATGATGTTTACCCATGCATTTTGCAAAATTAAGAAGAATCATGAGGCACGTGCAAGTCATGATGTACTCTTTTAATACCTCCCATATCCACAGTCACTCTTCTCTGGTTGATTTTTGTCCAGCCTCTGTCAGGGGACCAGTCTCCTGGCCCTTCACTTATTTTAGTGTCTGTAATGGTGACATCAGCATTGCCAGATTTAGGCTGCCCTCAGAAGAGCAAGTCCAAGCACTTGGTTCATTGCTCTTAAAATCTAGTTAAGATTTATTGTGCTCCACAGTAGTATTTGTCAGTCATTGCTAAAGAGATTTAATCTAACTTCACAATAGAAACTAGCAAAGGTGATGTACCAGAAATGGTGTAACTAGCATCCTACTATCGGTGATCTAGGGAAAGTCTTCTCCAACATTTACTGCTAGGGACATGCAGAAAACTGTTTTTTTATTCAGACTTTTCCTTTATTAAATTCAGCTTCTCTTGTTCTTTTTTTAATTATTATTATTTCTCTTGTTCTTTGTGGCTCTACAATCATCTAGCATCTCCACATTATGCCCTTGTTTCTAAGCCCACCTGAATTCTCCTCCTTTGTCAGATTTACATCAGCTCTGACTTGTCTTAGACAGAACAAGTGCTCTGATTTCTTGGTTATAAGAGAGAAACTTGGTAGAAACTTGGAAAGGTAGAGGAAATAATCTCAGAGCTGCCTGCAAGTGTCATCCTCAAAGCTCTAGGAAAAATAGCTGTGCTGGGTAGCTTCCTCTGCAAAGGTTCTTCTAGCTATAGTCAGTAGAGTCTCAGGTTCCCTAGGTAACCTGAATATTAATTATTATATTAGTATTCTTCAAAGGTTTTCCACTTAAAAGAAATGTTTCATTAGTGCAACAAATTACATAGCCCAATTAGGTGCATGCTGTAATAGTTTTCTACACCTCCACAGCTTTTTGCTTTACGGACTTCTAAGATTGGCTTATTCTCATTTGGGCTATACACCCATGGTGCCAAATAGTCTGCAGGTATTCAAAATAGTTGCCACTCCAGTTTTGTGGAAAGCTACCAAATAGTTAGAAGAGCCCTCAAAATGAGGGGAGGGAGGATATGGAGAAAGGCTGAGCAGCTGCTGTGTTTCAGAGGAGCCTCTGAGCATTGTATTTCTGGGCTATCTCACTGAGCTTGAAGCCTGGAAAAGCAATGCACCAGTTCTTCAGGAGCTGCATCACACTAGAATAGCTGTGTGAGCTGTGGGTGCTGGACCCTCTCCCCATGGAGAGACCATTCCAGACAACCCTTATTTATATCTGATAATGAAGGGAGAAGGAATTTCCTAGGTGTAAAATACAGTTTTAAAACTCCTGGTGTAACACTGCAGTTTAGCTGACACACTGCTCCCTGCCCCCCAAAATTTGTAACTTTTTAAAAAGAAAACGTTGCTACTTAAAAAACACCCCCTGAAGTCTTGAAAAGAATAGTTAGATCAACCCATTTTCCTTGTTCCGTTATTTTCCCTCTTGCTTTTTATCCCACTTGACCTCTATTACCCTTTTCCCACTTTAATATCTCTTCTCAAAAGTGTGTGTTAAACATTCCTGTAGATTATAAAATCCCACTCCTCCTTGAAGGGATTAATTTGTTGCAAGCTACAATCTAACCTATATAACAGTATTGCTTATCACATCTGTGTACTGCAATGAACCCCAGTTGAAACACAAATAAAATACCCTGCAAGGTCAATTTATGCATACATGAGCTGCACCACCACATAATCGATAGCTTTCCTAACACTAAATAGATCAATAATTCTGCTGTAATCCCTGAAATCTTTCAGTATACAAGAAAATACAAAGAACTCCTGAGACTGCAGTGT